CGAAAATTATAAACGAAATTTATTCTTAAGGTTCGGGAAAGTTTTTTAGTTCATCTATTTTCGGCAATTACGAAATTCACATCAAATGCGAAAGTAAAAATATATTTCTAAATTTTAAATGTGCTAAATAAGTTATTTCAAGTGTTAAGCTTGATCTAAACACTGCAATTAAATCATGACGACTTTGATCTCGATTCGAATCGAATAGGAGATAAAACAAAATCCAGCTCAATCACATGTAAAAATGTTGTAACAAATCGAATATGGTTGTATCGTAAGATAGTTATTATTAAGTTTACAACACAAGTGTAGAACAAATAAGCAATCGGAATTTTATGGAAAGTCAATATATTCGGTGGTAGATGGGAAGTGTACATTAAAATTGCAATCGTTTTTCCGATAAATCTTCACGGTAATTCTAAAAACAGAGTTGAAATGTATATACATCCAACAAATAATTAAATCACGTTTAATGACCACTATAACAACAAAATTATTGCGAGATAAACTTCGGGAAAGTATTCAGAGAGGGGGAGAGAGAGAGAGAAAGAGAAGAAAAACTCAACACAGTGGATTATTTAAAAGAGGCAGTCAAGTCGAAATGCATAGGCTGCTGGTTATGGCTATATATGTGTACATTAACATCGCAGCATAGCTCAACACGTGAATGCAGTGCATTTTGCCTTCAATTTTTTTGCCGTTTGTCTATATGGTGCAATAACCCACCGAACAAGACAACAAAACCATAAATGCAGGTGTTTTCACGTCGCGAGGCATGCATGATTGCATATATAGTCGCTAGGCAGGTTGGTTTGCAAAATAGGCAAAAATCTAGAAAATGAACGAAAAAAAAACTGAACACGAACGGAGAAAAAAATGTAAATGCGTTCGAATGATCATTTACATTCAATTCGTTGACGAGACAAAACCAAAAGCCACTACACTAAAAAAGCAAATGCTTCATTTTTCTTGATCTGTCTTTGTGTTCCTTTTTTTGCTTCTCACAGCCGATTTACGATCTACAGCATGTTTTATGCCTTTCAGTCATGACTACAAGTATCAATATATTATAAGGCCCGGTCGAGGGGATATGGCCAATAGATATCTAAAAATGATTAACATTGCACTAATAGACAGACATTCACCACAGCCACGATCTGTTCCGGTTTTACACGGCACGATGTAGTTATTGCCAAAAAAATACAGTTTGCTTTTCAAGTAATTTTCTTCGTGAACTCTTTTTTATCTATATACACTTGCTTGTAAAACCACTGGCCACGGAGGAAGGCAAGAAGAGAAAAAAATAGTGAAACTATTATAGAAAATGTTTAAGCAATGATACACTTTATATATATCATAGTCATGCACGCTGTCGACCTACATCGAAAAATTATTATGAGATCTTTATTTTCTTCTTGACAATTGTTTTTAATAAAGCAACTGCTTGTAATTCATTAAAATATATAAATGGCAAACAATTCAATAAAATCGACCTTAACCAGTGATGCGAGAAAAGTTCATTCAAAATTGGTCCAACCAAAGTTGGTCTCTCTCGCTTGCCACGAGAATAAATAATAAAAAACAAACGTAACATTAACTCTAATCAAAAAATCTATGTTACGAGCAATTGAAAATATGTAGATGTTGTTACAAAAAGAATTGAAATCAAAATCAATTACTATTTTATCTTTGCCGCCATTGCATATCTGTTATGGAAACCATTTATTTCTGTGTCTCGATTTAAACTAGCATTGAGATGTATCGATATCGATAGCGATATTTACTTTTGTTTTGTTCTCCAATTGCCTACAACTGCATTCAATGAAAATTGGGTTATGATATTGTATTAATGGTGAACATGTTCGAAAATTATTATATAACATTCTATTCATGCATTTTATTTTTTTCAATTGCAATGATGTCTTACAAGAAGCAAGCCATTTTTGCGGCCATCTCAACTGAAACTGTCAGCGTAATATCTGTTGTATACCATTAAATTGTTTACTTTTTTTTATATTCAATGTAATTTTATTTGAGGCTTAAAGATTTCCTGAATTTTTTTGAGTGTATTCAACTTCGGTACCTGAAGTCGAGTAAGAAAACGAAACGCAAAAGAGACACATGCATCAGACATGCCAATAGAAAGAAACAAACCTCGAGCATGTTTGCGACTTGCTGTTTCACTTCGCATACCATACATACACATGCCGTACGAATGCATAGAAAACTTGCATCGCAATTATACATCGCGTATTATATTCGCGGTGTGTGTGAATGTGGAAATGTTGCCGTTGTGGCTAGCATTTTGCATGTTATGGTTTTAGTCACTATCACTAGAGTGTCGCGACACACGCGCGTCTCATGTTTTCAGCATTATTTCCACCGTGGTGCAATGTTTTAATAGGCCATAAAAATAAAATTGAAAACCAGCATTAAAAACTTCGATTTTCAATAAAATATCATTTAGAAGTTCCCTTCGTACACATTTTTGTTTTCATCGGCTTACATTATTATTGAGTGTTGTATTGCCTGTTGCATGATGCCCGTGCATTGCATTCTATGCAGCCTGGCTCTTTATTTCGATGAAAACTTTACTGCCCAATTTCAACATGAAATACCAGAAAATATGGCAATTTAAGTTTTCCTTTGAACCTCATTAAAGATGTAATTATTATACACACATAGGGAGAGAGATAGAGATAGAAAAAAGAGCAAAAATCGTATAGAAAATAATTGCAAGCTATTTTGATGAAGGTATGCAAATCAACGGTAATTCCAACATAAAAATGTTAACAGTGTCGAAATGCATGACGGCTGACCCAAGATATGTGGTTAGAAATATATTTTTCTTACGTTCGTTAAGTTGTGTTACGTTGACTTATTCAAGACCTGTGTATCTATATTTATGGCAAATTCTTGTTGAAAAGCGGTCCCTTTCTACAAGCAATTTTCGTAGAATTAGCTATTATAATTTGGACTGATCTAAATCAATCTTGTTCCATTTGCGATTCTGGCCACGTTCGAAATAGTAAAATACTCATTCGAATTTGTCTGCTAATCAGCATAAAATCAAGCGTATTCGATCGATCATGTTTGTTTATTTGGTTCTTTCAACAAAATAGATGCGCATTTATGCTGTTTGATATATCTGGGTCATCGCTTTTCAAAAAATCATTTCAATGAAACAAAGAGGATCACATAAATTTGAATATGCAGCACGACAGACCATTTCCACTCGAATTATATTCATGAAAGTCAGATATCAACTGATAGACATCGGCCCAACCATTATTGAATCACGATCACATCAAAACTCTTGAGCTATAATTTCAGCATCAATTTTTCTTAATTTAACCTATACTCTGAAGCAGTAGAGCCATATAATATCGGTCCCATTAGAATTTGAAGATATTCCGTTTTTTCAAAGAGTTGCCGATCAGATTTTTTTTCTCTTCAGTTTGTTGATGATAGTTAATTGAAACAGATTTTGATTGAACCTCAAATGGCTCCAATCATTAGAGCAACCAATCTATATCTCAATATTGAAAATGGGCAACCGCATAGAAGATGAAGAAGCTTTGTGATGAAACGAGTGTTGATATTTTTGCTTCTTTTTTGAACACATTCCATAATTATAGTTGATTGATTGGCCAGTTGTTATTCTGGTCGTTCGACTGAATGAATTTGCAGAAAGACGATTTATTTAAAAAATAATCAAGACATTAACGAACAAAGTACCACTTGAAATGAATGCGACTGAATGAAGGAAGAGAAATAATGTAAACTACTCCATTTATTATCAATAATAAATATAGCTATCGCCTATGAAATATGGAACAGACTCGAAACGATTCTTTGGAGAGTGAAAAAAAATGAGTAAAATAAATCATAAACAATAAACATAAATTACCATGTTTACTTATGATATTGCTTCGAATGAAATTGAACAAATCGTATCAAGAGTTGACATACATACAAACAAATCGAATCAATTCTCGAGTCTTATATCCATCAGTATAGCGCCAAGTGAATAGACCAATAAATTTAATTGATTTGGTCTAGTATAAAAGACGTAAATATATAAAATTTCAATCGTTAAATATGCCGACACAATTTTCAATGGACGATCTAATTTTCAATGCATTTTCCGAAAATAGGACAATGAATTCTAATTAAAGTCGAAAACCCATTAACGCCTTGCAACAAACCTTTTCTTCTTTTCGTTTAAAGCAACAAATCGCTTTGACTGCGATACGGTAATGGATCAGCCGTCGAACAATAAAAACCGTTTATGTCATTCTCGCTTCGCCGGATACATGTAGTGGTGTGTATATAAAATTTCCGTCAATACACTGATAGTTTTGAAAAACATTTTTGCACTCGGTACAATGCCCAACCATATATTTTTTTTCTTATGGAAACAAGAAAGAACTTTGAAATATTGTGTCAACACAAACATCATTATAATTTTCATTCATTTTGAATATTTATGCAAATGAATTCGGTCCATTCGAATCAATTTGTACTATTATGCATGTTCATTTTGTATGTGCAATATTTAGAACAGCATTAACTGTATCCAAACGTTTTTTGAATGCGATGTGGTGTGTGCGCTCCATTATATCGATTGGTGTTAATAACTTATAACATGTTCATTGTTTCAAATGACAGCAAACAATATTGCATACACAAATGACTTGCTTAAATAAGTGCACTTGGATGAATTGCGGTCTCGTTTTTTTTGTTGCTGCTCAAAACCAATATGTGAAAGTTTGCAATTATTTGAATAGATTTTGCTCTTTTACGCTATATTCATAATAAGAAAATGCTCGGAGAAAAACCATGGGCGTATGTTGGTTCAAATGAATTGAGTAAATAGGCAAAGTTTATAATTAACATGCAAATCAATGGGTTGGCATAGACAATTTTCGTTGAAAGTTAATTTCAGATTATTAAGATAATTCTCCAAGCTCATTTCGTTTCTCTTTTTTTCCTTTCAGAATCGAAAATTATCAAAGATAAATCAGCAACAATCTCGAGCACTACTCCTCCTCCACAAAAGGTATGTAAATCACACTGATCGGCATTATATTCATCTTCTAAATTATATTTCTTCCAAAGCTGGGGTCTTGGTTTAGAATATATCTTTTGGCATCTGTCATTTTACATCGGTATAATTAGTAGCTTTTTCAGATTTGTTCATCAATTTGATATGCTTGGAATAGTCATCAATTGCCTATTTATGGGTTTTATGCATTCAAATTATAAGCAACATCATCGCTTGTCATATTCAATAAAAAAAGAGTAGAAAGAAAACTGAGAAAAAAATGTCCACGCACATCGAGCGTTGACACGTTTGATTTTCAACAGAAAAACCATTTTATCAATCCCAAGTGAAATCGAAACTGGTTCTGCTCTAGTTCACAAACACCACACCAGTGAATCGACGTGTCGATGATAATTACGCCCATCAACCTGATTGTCACTTTGAATCAATCTTTTTTGTTTGTTTGTTAAAGTAAGAACACACATAAATTCGCCATAGATGACATTTATTATTTGAATTTGTATGAACTTCCGGTCGCCCTATGTAATTGAAATGAAAGCGCAAACTTTTTCTCTCTTTTTTATTATTCATTTTCATTTTGAATATAAAGTTGCAATTTATGGGAGAATCATATGGGAACGGAATTTGAATGGGACACTGTAATTGAACAGAAAAAAACAACAACAACGTTGTTGTGAATAATGTCATACGAAGAAACTTTCTATTCGGTGTGGCCCGATTATGACGCGACGTTTCGTATATCCATTGTGGGACACACTTATATATATGAATTCATAAATAACATAATATATAAATTGTACACTCGGCTTGGCCATCTAAATTGTGTTGAACTCGGCGTATGTGATGAATATTGAATATGTATAGTATAGAAAAGTCTCATAAAAACGCGATAAGATCAGGCCTGCGAACATTTTCGTGAAACTTAAAATTCAATAATGAAAAAAATAATACGAAACCACCTTTAAGACATGATATTCTGTGGCCCTTGAATTCAGATTTACCATATTTGATTGAATCGGAATATTTTTTTTTCGCTAACAAAATTATTCTGATTAATAATTGAAGTTGTGCACTTTAGCGGATTATTCAAATGAATTAAGGTGCTCCGCCGCGACAGATATCTGTTTGATGCATGATTGGATTTTTAGGTCTAAAGTCACGAGCAATAATGTCGTGGATTTTGTATGTGTGAATGAGGTGCTATTTAAATTTATATGCTGAGACACATTGTTGCAGCAATTCTCAAATGTTATTACATCACATCTTGTTTGTCAGATTATGAGAAAAAACACCAATATCATAGCCAGAAGGCTGGCGGTTTATTTTTCTTGATGAACATATTTACATTGTGGTTCATTGGATTGCGACCGATCATTTTTGTTTGATATAATTTGACAGTTAACATTATAAGAAGGTTTTTCGGTAGATAACTGATTATTATAGTGATTTTCAGTGGTCAACATTCGATTTGAATTTTCTCTCGTGTGCATTTAAACATTTAGATCAAGGTTCAATTTTATTTCACGGTTCGTTTGCAGTGCAGGTACATCCAATTTAATCCAATCTGAATTGACTTTGTATCACTTCCAACGATTATAAATGTGCCTTTAAGTCAACATAATTAGCTACAAATCTCAACTTACCCGTTAAATCGGAGGCTAACGATTGTTTTAAATTTGTTCAAAACGGTGTGCACCAAAGAGCAATCGTTTAACAAAACATTGCTTTCAAATTTGTATAAAATCCAAGGACGCCCTCCTATCCATTTGTTCTTTATATTTTACATTCTATCGTCATTTGGTATAGAAATAAGATTCTACTGTTAAGCACCGAAATCGAAACCATCGACTTAATGTTAAACGAACCTCTTTTGTGAATGTGAATTGAAAAACGATGGTTATTTGTGGTCTTTTAACAAATTAGAGACTCTTTATCATCCAATCCATATCTCTGGCAACTCATTTTCATCGATAAATTTTTTGTTGATGTTGTTGTTGAAAATGCCGAAGAAACCTGTAATCTAGTTGAAGAATTAATGACATGTTTCAACATGATCAACACAAACGCTGACAACATTTTTCTTGGAATAGAACCGCTAAAATTATCTTTTCTCCTAATATAATTTCTAAATTGTTATGATGGTCATAAAATACGATAGAATAGACGTTTTGCAACTATCTTACCATCGGCAGCGTCAATAGAAAAGTGGTCATTTTGTTACAAGCATTATTATGATTGCTAAAAAACAACACCACTAAACGACGATGGAACGTTAAGAAGATATACATACACACGGCGCAGTAGCAAAATTCATGTTCTTCTTAGTGAATTTTGCACAAGGTCGTATAGCAACGTCATTGCCTCTCACTCGCTTAAGCGATGTCGAAATTGTAGAATGCATAGAAATGCATGCACATTTTTCGCGATAAAATCAGCAGAAAAAAGAGAATCTATTGACATTAAACGTATAAGCCGATGGTATTGGATAGCATACAACGAGAGGAAAGTTATGCGACTTCACAAGCGACATCTATCGAAAAGCCAAACAAGCTGTGGAAAAAAGCTTTAACTTGATGCTTTCGAATGAATAAGTCAAAATAAACTGTTATAATTTAGATGAGTGGAATATTGTTTGAGCAAAAAATTGATCAGTATTGTTGAGCATTTTTCTGTTTGTATTGGTGTTACATTGTCAAGAGAGCATTGGCTCAATGCCCATTAAACAATGTTGTTGGTAATAGTATTGAGTGAATTTGAATACTTTATTATTTGAATATGTGCATAATTGCAAAGATAAACTGATTACGATTTGTTTCACTAAAAGTTCGAATTTTTTGACATAAATTTCTTCTTCTTGGAAATAATATCCATTTTAAAAATCGTAAATGTGTCCAAAACTCCTTTTGAATATTGACGCTCCACATTCTCGAGAATCGGAGTGAAATAATATATGCATGAGTAGTTGTGATTTAACAATCCATATCTCTTATAAAGCACTGAAAATATGGAGAAAAAAATGAAAACACTCAAATGCCAACGCAGAGTATGTGCAAACATCGAACACAAATACAACGCCGATGTTTTTGAATTGATTGAAATTCTAACCTATTTCAGTGTAGCACGAGCGGCATTACGAATAATGTGTGAAATAATATACATGTGACTATAGCATCCACATGTATTTTCATTGCGGGCAAATGCTTAAACATAGGCAATGATACTCAAGAATGTAAACTGCTCATTCGTTTCAACATGTATATATACAACTCAATACAAACATCAACTTAAGTAGAAAGAAGAAGAAGAAAAAAAATAATACCGACAATATAATCATCATGCTTATGTATTGATGTCTGATGTTTTCGTATGTATTCGTAATATCAACAATGTATTGCGATTCGATTTTGTTGTGCACAACATAACAAAAAGAGAATGTGTGTATATGAGTTGAAAAGAAGAAACAATTCGAATGAAAAAGACCACGGAATATTATCGTATATATCAGTTTGAAGCGAGCATTTCGATCTGTACGTGTACTTCAGTTTCGTTGTTTATTTTTCATCATTTATTTTGATGTTTCTTTGGAGAAAAGTTTATTGTAAATGAATTTTATTTTATTTTACTACTTAATTTTGTGATTTTCGGTTAGATTTTTAAGTTTTGTGCATATGTTTTCTGAATATTGATTATTTTCAACATCAAAGGGATACAAGTGACCAACGAGTTAATAATTGTTCATACGTTTTTGTTATTTTTGTTCGTTTCTGTAAGTAAATGGGTGAAAGACATGGATTAACATTTTATTTCAATATTGTAGTGAATGTATGCGATATACTATTGTTTTTAAGTCAACAACATTGCTGGCATATTTCAAAATTGTAACGATACAATTTACTCATGTTTGTGCATTGCTTGATGCATTATGAGTTGACGTGAAGGTATTAAAATCAGTGTGAAAACGATAAAAACAAACACCATTGCTATGTGAAATAAATGTCGGTGTATTCGTTGTGATGACGTTCTCATGCAAACGCAAATTATATGGTTTGCTACTTGCGCTCAATGTTATTTTAATCGTGCACAAGACATTTCGTTACATTTACATTATCTTCGATGATGATGATGATGATGATGTAATAATGCAATGTCGGTTTCATTGAAATTCAAACGCAAATGTCATTCTACAACATTCATTTTCTTAGCAATTGTGACGCAAGAGATGCACGAACGCGAACCATTTCGTTATTTTTAGTGAATCCGTAACGTGGTGGCAGCTGCTTTTTTTCGCAAAGAAAATCAATATTATCAGTCTAAGTCAAGCGAAACAAACTGAAAACTCCCTTATCTTGTGTTGCAATTATTATTGTATTGATTATATGAGTTAAAAAAAAGAATCCCAAAAACAAAAAACAAAAGTAGGACAATGTATTTACATTTGCAGTGAGTTGAAATTAAATGAATAATATCGTACTTATTTTCTCTAAGTAGCTATAACTCGAATATTTAATTAATTCGTTTGCAATTTAAATTCGATGTGGTTTCACAACGAATCAAACTCAAACAAGAGATTTTTTTAAATAATTCAGTTTTTTTCAATTACACTCAAATCAATTCAATAGCCATGAACTTGTTGCACACACATACATATTGTTCAAGCTGCACGCCAGTAGTTATTCACATGGAACGATCGTTCACCAATGAAATTCTGAAATTGCTCGTGCTGATGAATCATTATATTTGCAGTCATTAAAGCCAACTATCTAGCTGTTTTTTTTTGTTCGGTTTATTTTTATCGATGTTTTTACATTGCAAGCCACCGTGTGGTTGCTTTATATCTCTTTTCAGATCGTGACTGCGTCAACCATTTATCTTTTCGCTTTACTCACCATGAGACCATGCATTATAGAGAAACATTTGTTGGCATTTTCTCCTTCCATCGACCATTATTGGGCCTAATTTTCATGTTCGGGCTGAAAGGCTGCTCTGAATTCCAAGCAAATGACTAAAATTATAGTACATTCCGCATTGATTGCAGATTCAATTTGAAATATTAATCCATTGTATTTATGTTATTCCGTCTTCGACAATATTGATTTCTAAATGGTTTTGTGGCGATCGATGATTGCATCAACAATGAAATGAATCATTCAAAAGGCCACATTATTGTGTGATGTTTCAATTGCCACCGCTTCGAATACGGATGTAAAGTTTTTTTTTGCTATTCAAAATATAAATAGCATTATGAGACTTCTTAACACTCTTATCAACGTGTTTTGTAATTGCGGTCATGACAAATTCGAATCCGTTGTGGAACGGAAAACAAACATATAGAATTTTATTTAAAAACAAAATTATTTGAATCAGATGACTTCGAAAGTTGACATTTTATTTTTGTTATTTTTCATTCGTTCCGTTCGTTGTAGAATTTGTATGGTTGATTGTTTGGATCTCAGTAAGCTGGGCTATATACATTTGAAATATCTGTTATAAAAACACACACACATAAATACACATTTTTTATATGAAATCATCATAATTTATTCAGTATAATTAAACATGTATCTAAAAATATATGAAGCGCAGAGATAATACTATTGTTTTTTTTAACAAATTTCATTTTAAAGTGTTAATTGAGATAATAAAATTGAATCAAAATTATTATTACATATTTCGAAATTTTCTTTTTAATCACGAAGTAACTTGAGATTAGAAGCATTGGACAAAGAAATTCTACGTAAATCAGATTTGATCAGTGGCTTTCTACCTATAAAAAAATAGTACGAACACACTTCATATGGAGTGAAACTTTTCTCAGACGAGATTATGTGTGACTTTTCATTTTGACCTAGCATCATCTTCAATCCTATTAAAATGGCTAGCTAGAAGTCGGGTGGAATTTTTAATGAGAATCATCACGTATGATGAACTGTAAATTCCAAAATTAAAATCTGAATAGATTTCCGAACGATAACGTGGCCAGTGAACGTGAATGGCTATTTCATGCAAATTTCCTCTCGCAGATGATTGATATAGAGGTATAACAACCGATTGTTTCACTTACAACTTCAAAACAAACCTCAAACAATTACCATTCTTTATGCTGGCTATTTAACTTCGACTATAGACAAAACACAATTGATATGCATACTATATGCACAAGGCCTGTAAATTATGGAACGCTTTTAGTAAAAAATAGACACACATCTACGAAGATGAAAAGATAGACACACGAAATTGAAGTAATGCTTCTGGTGTGAACTCTGACGATTGTACTTGAACGAGTGAGCACATAAACAATAATATGAATAAAGCACTCAATTCCACGAAGTCCATATTTCCATTTTGCCAACGGTTCATTGATGTGTTTGCCGCGTTTTTTTTTTACTTCTCCCGTGCACGATCATACGTATTTTGAGCTCACATTCTTACTTTTGGAATTTTAAAGTTTTGCAACGTTACACCACTTTCTTAAGTGAATTTGATACTTGAACAATGACCGCGCAATTCTATATCTGAAACTGTGAGATGAATAGCGCCGTGGCCACTAATGAATCATAAAAAGAAAACAAAAACTAAAGTGTGTTTTCGTTTCCTGAGTTTGTTCATTTTCGGTGTGTGCGTGTGTGTGTGTGTGCGCGGGCAAACTCATGTTGGTATAGTCCGCTTGGGTGAAAACTTTGTATGTTTATTCACGTTCGGTTGTTTGTCGAAACGAAATGTTGCGAAGTCTGGAACAAAAAATCGTGTTATTGTTTTCTCAAATGGACCATTCTACGAAGTAACAAAATGACATCTCTTATTTCTTCGAATTTCCGAACCATTATAGAGTTGTTGTAAAATGTGTAAAACGTGTTTGCATACCCAACAGCACTGGGAACCTCGATCAATTGTCAACAAAACAAAAAAAAGTGTCCGCAAACAATGGCCTCATATCGATTTTCTTCCCGAACTTCGCTTTCCCACCTTAGAGAGTTCGTGTTATTATTGCCGTTACATTGTTTCGTATTTGATAATGAAATATCAACGTTTGAATTTCGGCATGCGAATGCTATCTCATTTGCATAGAGCGTGTATATGGGGTGTTTTACAAACATATCGACCGGTAAATGCTACCCAAAAGCACTGATAACGATCTGTGTGCGAAAACAAACAGTCGCACCGATATTTGACTTCTGGTAATTGCTGTTTATCTTACGTGTCTACAGCCCATTTCAATAGGATTCAAAGTGGTGGACTCTATAATAGAATAGGCACAATTGAATGTAACAATGTAAATTAATGCGTCGAATGGCATGGGATGATGAGCGACAATAAATCGCAATAGTTTTTTTTCGCTCAACCTCCGATGGAGTCAAAGGCTTTTTACTGGTGGAGCTTCTCTTGCATAAAAATTACATAGTTTTCTTCCACTTTGAATGATTAGCGCGACTCATAGACATTTCCCTTTAGCCCCATTGTATTTTCAAGTGCCAATTCATTATGTTCAACATTTTCTGTCATTTCCTCTCAGAACAATCACTGCAATTTCAACCAGATGAAACTTTGTATTTGATTTTTACAGAAATACTACGAGGAGTACTTTCGTTAAGCTGATACCAAAATGAGAATAGAAATATAGACGATAAGCACTGCGATATGATTTCATTTGTTTTATCCCACTACAAAATCGTTCTCATAACGATAGGAACTGTTTTTCTCCACTTTACCACTAAAATTGAAAACTTCACCCATCGAGTTATTATTTGCTTTCTTCGATAATGCCACACCATAAAACTTTTGTTTAGTATTAGTCTTAGGTAATTGCAATTGATTGTTCGATGATTGAATTTTACTATATATCAGTATTGCCCACCCATTGTTTTCTATGCGTTCCCTTGTTTGATTCTAATGAGAATGGTGTGACTGTTATTAATATTGGACCAAGAATGTAATTCTTCTTTTGAACGAAGAATGTTGGTTACATTTTCATTTCCAAAGTTGTTACATTGTATGATTTCTTAACCAGATGTTTATTATTAATAATTGACAATGACAATGACAATAACTAATTTTGTTATGATGTAACCAAAGGCGGAAAGTCCACAGCAAGCAAATAAATCAAATGACACCGCTAACAAAGCGACAACATCTGACAAAACAGCTGAGGAACAAAAACCATCGTCAACAGTCAATAAAGACTTAAATAGCACGAAAATTACTGGAGCAAATCAACAACCAAGTACCAAATCACAAAGCATTGCAAATAAATCAAAAGTGGCAACGAGCAAAAGTGAATTTTCGTCTGAAACGTCGAAAAAAAAGTCACCAACAAAGAATTCAAGCTCAACCTCATCGCCAAGAGGTCAACAAAAGAAAGCCAACCCAAAGGAAAATGCAAAAGGCATAAAGGCAACTACCGCAAAAAGTGGAAATGAAAAAACGAAAACATCGCCAAAGGCAACGGCAACCAAAGCAAAATCAAACACCAAAGTCAATTTAAATGACATCACCGAGAAAGTGAACGAAGTTTCAATCGCAGATACTGCACATTAAAAATAGATTTACATAGTTTCGTACGCACAAACTTTACTTCAAAATTACATAAGTTTGAGCTCATACCAAAAATAGTCACTTGTTTCAGTCGTCGCTTCTTAACTCAAATGCATTTCCTGTTCAACGAATTTCAAGTCATGAGCAGAAAATCAGTCAAAATTTCTATACGGATAGTAAAATAAACGCAAAATTAAGTGTCACTTCGCTTTACGATATTGGGTAAATAAAATAACTACGTTGCACTTAATGCAAAATCGATAATCGTTTGCGCAAAATACATAATAACACAATACCATTTTTCTATTTAATTTTGCAATCGACCCTATTTCGCAAAATGTAGTAATTTAGTATGCGAAAGGCTCATGAAATAGTAACGACTTCATGATATGCCGCATGATAAGCGAATACACCTAACAAAACTAGTTAAATTCCATTCTTTATCGTTGCTTTCTTTTTTTTATTTATTCACTCTTTATTGTTTCCTTTTTTAAATCATATTTTCGTGTCAAATGCATTTTAAGTCAAAATTGTGCATTACCTTCATCTTCTTCTATGTATTCATCGCTTCACATTTTTTTTAGTTAAATGTTGTTTTTAATATGCTCATTGGGACGTTTTTCACACTTACATTAGACGATAATGTCGAAAATGAGCCAAAACATCAACAATTGTTGCTTCATGATGCTGTCACTTCAAATAGTAAATAGATTGTTGTGGCACAAGTGAAAGTGTCACATATCATTTGAACTTCAGTTTGATGAAAACATTCGACAATGAAACATTTTTCGATGTGAGAAAAAAAAACCAGCGAAAAGAAAGTACTGGAAAGTTGAATGTTTAGACTATAAACCGTTAATTGTTATTATCTGGTATGTGGTCGACCTGTTGCATTTGTGCAAATAGGAATACGAACTCTATTTTGCCAGAAATGGATAATGAGGTGCTTGTCGACAAATGTAAAAAAATTATTCCATCCCACTCCGTTGACTTTGGTATCCGATTCATCAATCATTCCAAACGCCGTAATCAATGTCATTGTATTGTTGCTTCTATTAAATGCATTTTTAATGTCTCACCAGCCTTATACCGCAACGCATACAGTTTCACATTCATTCCGTTTATTTTTTTTTTGTATTTCATTAACTCTATTTCTAAGTGTGCTTTAACTTTTAAGTGTTCGTTTTATCGCTTGCTTTAAGTGTTTATGTTACGTTACTTGTTTTTGTACTATTTGACTTTTGCTAATTTATGTGCTCTTTCTATTTCTTTTTATTTGTATGCTGTTTTTTCGTGTAAAGGACGAAAAAAGTTTGGATATCATGGGTCAATATAAACCAGAAATATTCTGCTAGAAGCCTCATCAAGCATACATTTTGTGCAAATCACGCATACTATTTGAGTACGTTTTAAGTATATCCTAAGTTAAGTAATCGCAGCAAAATCAATCGAACAAAATCTCAAAACAACAATACAAAAACCGAACAAAGAGCCAACTCCCCGAATAATTGTATCTCATAATTTTAATCGATAAAAACAGGTAAACATCAATTCATTTTTGTTTTTCTTTTAATTATTCATCCGTTCATTGATTGCTTGTGCTTGATAAAGATACGGTTTCATAAAATTCTTATTAAAAAATAAAATCGATAAAAGAAAAACCAAACTAACGGATATTTCATATTATTATTATTTCGCAGATGGCACATATTGTGGGTGTTCCGAAACGTGAGCCTTGTAAGCACTGTGGCCTTCCAATATTTTTTGCAGAACGTTTAGCTATTGATGGGTCATTTTATCATCGAAAATGTTTGCGTTGCGCTCGTTGCTCCACTCAATTGACAGTTGGAAGTTTTTATGAAACGGAATCGGGCGCTTATGTTTGCGAAACGTGTCCGGATGAAGAGAAGAAAATGCAAATCGGCAACAACAATGGCGTTGAGCATTTTTCGGAACTGTCACCACAAGTGGCAGATGAGCATCGACAATCGTTCAGCGAAAAACTTGCCATGTTCCAATCGAATGGCAAAGGTTTACTACAGAAATCGCTTAGCGACGAAGAGAAATCGAAAAGTTTGAAGCGTCTCACTGAACTTTATTCGAAAAATTGTACACATGATGCAAATGATATCAAACAAACGATAAATGAAACTGACGATGTACAAATTGATGAACAGAATGATGACGATGGTGGTGGTGGTGGTGGCAGTGCTGCTGTTGCCGCTGAATTATCTACTTCTGAAAGTAGTGACGAAGAGGATGAAAAACCACCATCGTTACCAAAAACATTACCACCTAGTCTCAATCTGCCCACAATTGATGCTGCAAAGCCAAAACTACCACCGATCCCGTCAAAAGCAAACGTTCTCAATAAATTATATGGAAAAAATGTAATGGATAAAGTGCATCAAGACAATATAAAAATAGACGCGAGCACATCCAATCAAAAATTGCCAACGCAAACAATCACAGTACCATCAATAGACACAAATGAACAATCATCAAATATCGAACAACAACAAAATGACAACAACAGTGCGAATATTAAAGAAAATCACAAGGAAACGCCCAGCATTGGTGCATCAGTTTCACAGAATGAAGAAAAAGTGAACGGAATTGAAAGTAACCTCAATACAAATAACAGTTTGCCATTAGATGCATTAAACAGTTTAACTAATGTTACCAAAGAAAATGCTAAATTCATCGGGGCAAGCCAGCATAATAATGCTAACGTGCATCATTTAGAAGAAAACAAAAGAGATTCTAATGGCATTGACAATGATGACAACGACGACGACAATAGACACGTTGAACAAGGTACAACCGATACAAAAAATCTTAACCAGTTAGAACCGAATCTTTTTGCAATGGAAAACGAACGCGAAAATATCGTCGATGAAAAACAAGAACAGAAACAAGAACAAGTACAAACAGAGCAAAAAGAACATGAACCACAAAGTCTAAGTAGCAATGAATGCAATGAGAACATCGATGTTGATACGAATAACGATAATACAAACAATCTTGAAAGTATCACGAATATAAGAGCAAAGTCAATAAGTGATAATGATAGCCAGAATATGGTTCGTTCGCGTCTCAGTCAATTCGAGGCATTACTTCAATCGACAGAGAAAAAGCAAACACCACATTATTCACCTAGATTAAATCGAAGTTCAGCACTTGCAGAAAATGTAACGATGCAAAATGAGCAAAAGAAGTCAATTGAAGTCAATGACAAATTAAATGTTACAGATGCAACCGATGTAATTGTACAATCGAATGTAGAACTAGAACCACTCACACAATTCGCATTAAATGCTGACGATGAAAATATTGTCGTTAATTCAAATGCTGACTCAAGCAAAATATTGAATACATCTGAAATGAATGACATTGATATAAAAAGACCGGTTCCTCGTCAACGTGCTACATTAAATGTGCGCCTCGAAGAAGTTGCAAACAATCCTCATGCCGATAGTCCACCTACTCCATACAAACGAAAACAAAAGCCAACTACATCTGAATCGGAACCATTGGCCGATAAACATCAGATGGTCGAAGATAATTCGAATAATTTAGACAATGAACATAAAAGATTGCCAGACTGTTCGATGAATAGTGAAAACAATGTACACAAAAAAGATGAAACGAATTATCCAAATGGATTGAATCCGTTTGGTAGCGATGATGATGATGATGATGAAAAAGATGAACAAAATGATAGTAACGGTCAAGTGGTTCGAAAACGAAAAGAAAGCCTAAATCCATTTGATAGTGATGATGATGAAATCGAGTTGTTAAAAGAAACAACACCCAAAAAAATTCCATCTAATCACAGGTAAATAATCTTCAAGTACGCCACATTCATTATTTATTCATTCATCATGCTGTAATCAAATTTCAAAACGAGAATGGAGAAATTTAGCACCTTGTTTTATTTTATCAGCCATAATATGATTAAAATTTGTGTTTGTTATCGTGATTACAGAATTTCAACGAATCCATTTGGAAGTGACAGTGAAAATGAAACCGACACCGATTCTTTATCAGCTAAACGAACACCGGTACCAACGCCGCGTAAACCAATGTAAGTGAAATACATTTTTTTATTACCATATACATCTGCGATTGAATTTCCTTGTCTATCGTGAACTTTTGTTGTCTGTGTTCACTTAATATCTCCATAAATATAGGTGTATAATCTGAGCATCGGTCATATATTCGGAGCCCACGTCAATTGTTTAACCAAATGGTTTCTTTTTCAAAAAAAAAATAAAAATAAACATCCGATTGTCGTTTGTGTCTTGATCAATGCATATGTGTCTTTTGTTCATTGTACCCTCCACGTAGTCTGGATGTCTGTGACGATATGTACACGTCTTTTTTTTGAATGCCCACATATTTCGTAAGGACAAAAATCGTAAACATTCAATTTTGAGTTGATATAAATAAAAATGAAATGAAGTAAGAAATAGAAAAGGTTTCTATTGTTTCTTCAAACGTTGCTTTCATTCAACGTTATATTGGCCATAAAATTTGATATAAAAATGATAATTTACAGTTTATTTTTATCATAGTTCACGCGCGAATGAAAAAGAACATTTTCTAAAGGTGGCGTTTGTATGTTTTCTTCGCCAAAGGAGTGTGTTTGTTTGGCAAAACATTTCTTTGGATTCTTAACGATAGTTTGATGATTTTGTAGCAGTATGTTTCCATATTTGTCGCTGCATTCCCCTTTTTATGTTTATTTTTTTCTTCTTCTATTTCAATATTTCGGATACTGTCGGACACAGAATAAAACATAATGCATTTCAAAAGTATTAACAAACAATACCACAAAATATTTACAATGTATTGGTAGAAGTGTTTGTGTGACGAGTGTTCTTTTGTTTCAAATTTCGACGGTGGTTTGTTGACGTTTCTACATATTAACGCAAAAGACGCGCTGTTTATCTTTTTACTGTCGTGGATTTATTTGTCTATGTGCTGCTTAAGTCACAACTCGTTTCTTTTGGATATGTCTTTAGCTAGGTTCAACAAAATACGAAAACAATGCAATGCATATGAAGAAAAAGCAGTGATGACAACAAATAGTCTAAAATATAGAAAACTTTAATGCTGGAGAGAGAGCGAGAGAGAGAGAGAGACACCGAGTATTACCGCATTTGGTTTTGTGATTTACAGTTAGGTTTACGCTTATTTTTTCAAAGTTTTATTTACATATCATTTCCATTCTCTTTCCTCCTTTTCTCTCTTTCTCCCTTGGACTGTGTTCCGCACACGCCGGTATTGTTCACATGTATATTTTTCGGAAGAAACCACTATTCAAATACGCTTTCTTCATAGTTGTTTTTGTTTCGTTTTGAGAAGATAACGCGCGAGTGCGGACATTCATTCAGAAAAACATTGAAACGCCCAATAGCGCACCAAAGTCACTTGAGCATATTTGTACACATGACAGAAAAAAAGCGTACTAAACGCGCAATGCATTTTTAATTATAAAAAGAGTACATACACAATGATATACACAATATGACATTAAGACACACGGCTATAAACGAGCCAGTGAATGACACCAGTTATTACATATTTGTCAACTTGTTATTTAGTTTATGTATATGATCCACAAATGTACAAGACGAAGAAGACAGGGAAAAAATAATAATATGAAAATGATTATAACAGAAGTACTGTACTATGTTGTAATCCGGGCGATGAAACGTTCGTTTCTCAGTTTAAATTTACCCATCGATAAGTGAAGACGCAGCTCACATTTGTTGCCAACGAAAAAATTGATCGTTTAATTGTTTTATATAAAAAATTTGATTGAATAACAGCAAATTGAAAATGTTGAAATTTGTTTCGCCACATCTTAGGAATGGATCGATGTTACAACAAACAACATCAGATGCATCGCCTCGTATGTACAATACTCTGCATCCAAAAATACGGTTACACACCGGTGATAATTTTCACGGAAGTGATGCATCATTGGCTTCATCAACGAATAACATCCGCACATCGAGCACATTGAATAGATCGAGCAAGATTCATGGTTCGATGAGCTCATTAGCATCATCGGCCACACTGCGACACAAAAAAGGCCGAGCACCCGATATTCCAAAAGTGAGCGTAAGTGCGAGCAGTAGTCCATCGCACAGTATACGAGCTACACCAATAACAAGGAAAAAACGTGCAGCACCACTACCTCCTTCAGCTAATAAACACCAAAGTATGATGTCGCCAAACTATCTAACAGCTGGTGCAACATTAGAAGAAGATAGTTTAAGTTCACGACACACTATTTCTAGCGAGTCTGTCGTGGATTTTCATCAAAGTGATTTCGCGCCATCAATTGAAAGTAGCTACGTTTCATCATCGAATGAAATGTCCATATCCAGTACGGAACCAAACAATTTAAGTACAGAATTCCAATCAAATGAAGTATCTAGTGATCAAATGACTGAATCGACTCCAATAAAATCGATAGAATCCACAAATGTTCAACGCAAATTGATACCAGTCGATGAGAGTTTATTGGACGACCTGGCGACAAATCAGCAGCATTCCGACGAAATGTCGGCTGAAGAAAGAGTAACTTATCGACGCAAAATTATTCCCGACCAAATAATAACACCGATTAAAAGTGTTGTTGTTATGCCGACCGATCGACAATGTGAAAAAATGAAAGAAAACAAAGAATCACAAAATAAAAATCGTCAAAGTCAAATCGTGATGCCATCAAATGTAATGGAAGAAGCGAGTCAAGTATATAGTCCAAATAAATCATCGTATGGCAAATGGAAGCGTCGCAAGGGCCCGGCTCCATCGTTGCCAATTCCACCGCGTAAGGTAATACAAATGTTGCCATTGCAAGAAATTCGGCATGAACTCGAGGTCATCGAAGTACAGCAACAGGGTTTGGAAAAGCAAGGAATAATGCTTGAAAAAATGATTCGCGAACGGTGTGAAGGCGCCGAAAACGAAAATCAACCGTTAAATGAATGTAAACCAAATTCAAAAGAAGTCGAAGACCTCATTCTACAATTATTCGAATTAGTCAACGAAAAAAATGAGCTATTTCGCCGACAAGCCGAACTTATGTACTTGTAAGTATTTTATGCGTATTTCTTTGCTTAGCCTTTTTCCACTCATTTGGCTGAAAAAATTGTTTTTGTTCATAGACGAAGACAGCATCGACTGGAACAAGAACAAGCCGATATTGAGTATGAAATTCGAGTGCTTATGGCGCAACCGGAATGTAACAAAACCGATTCGGATAAGGCACGAGAGGAAGCGCTTATATCGCGCTTAGTTGATGTATGTTTTGATTTTGAATATCTAATTGTGTTAATGTTAAATTCGAATTTATAAAAAATCATATATTCTCTTTCAAGGTTGTGCAATTGCGGAATGAAGTAATTGAAAGTTTGGAAATGGATCGAATACGTGAAGCCGAAGAAGATCAGGTAATTTATCATAGAGAATAATAAATGGTTGCTTAATTAAATTTCATTGCTCCGACTCTAACGTTGAAAAATAAATATTTATTCCAGAGCATAAAACAGCGCCTCGAAATGCATACGGCAAAGCGTGATGAAGAATTGTGTCAACAAACGCCCGTCAAACTATCGAAAAAAGAGAAGAAAAAACAAAAAGAGTCAAAGAAATTGGCCAAACAAAAGAAAATGGATGCAGATAAGGTAAGCAAACCGATGAGACCCCCTCCCATCTCTGTATGACGCTGTATGATGACACCAAATCTAAAATAAAAATCTATTTTTAGGATGCTGATGAAAGTGAAATAAGTCAATCGGAGAAATCAAAGGAGAAAAAGAAAAAGAAAAAGTTTTTGTTCTAAACCGACCACAATTAATGTACTGAGGCCTTCCATCCATCAACATATGCTAATAGGGAAAAAAGAGCTATTGTTTTCGTGATATAAAAGATAATTTCAATTTAATTTCGGATAAGAGTAAATGCGGTTCAAAACATACACATCCGATTCCAATATCGTCAAGTAGCAAGTTTCGTAGGAACGTTAAGAAGAAAGCATTTAATAATTAAAACATACTTACATATTGATTGTCCATCAAAATTGACATTATTAAGATATAAGATATTGAATAGTGCGATTGTTTTATTGTTAAAACACCAACTCATCTGCACACACATACATACACACACACATATGTGCACGCGGGAGTATCATTATTATAATTGTTAACGCGCACTGAGTGCTGACTTTGTTTTAAATGTCGTTTAGATTTCGAATAGTATACATTGTGATCCCACACGTAAATCACTGCACAAGAAATGTAAATGCACTGGCCAGTGGTCACACTACGTTTTGCATAAATTACGTTACTCAAACCGTCGGTGTATAGTAGTCGGTGCTTCAATCAAATTTATATCGTTTATGATCACATGTAGAAACTATTCTATAGCTGTTTATTTTACTTGAATTTGAAACAGGAACATTTTTGATTTAGCTTCTTTATTTTGTTTTTCTATGTTTCGCAACAAGAGTTTACATTTTACATACAAACACATATATATATTTTCTATAATCGTTGTAAAAAATGCCTAAAATGTTATTATTGTAAGTTTAATTGAAAGTAATTTTTTTGTCCTTTCCATTATGTGAGAGTTCGATCAATAAATGTATACATTTCTTTTTTTTTTCAAGCAATAACAATGGTCTTTTACTTTTTAACTGGTATATATATGGCTTTTAATTGAGAGAGTTAAGCGTGCTAACAAAGTGCTAAAAGCTAATCTTACGTAAGTAAATCTTTGTTTTAAGCTTAACATATGAGGTCATTATTTCTTCTTCTAAAGTACATGTGGAAAGGTAAGAAATCTAACGAAACTAACGTTTTTTTTGTCATTTTTTCAATACGATACATCTTTCAATATTTTACTCAAAACGCGTTGAATTGAGTTTAAATATTGAGTATCTTTTTTAAATTGCCTACTTCGTGGCGCATTTTCTATTATGTTGTCCATATTTACATTTTTCAAGAAAAACATTCTTTGATATCTTTATGGTATTCAATATTTCCAAGTAGAAATGCAAATGGATAAATCAATCAGAAGGGAGGGTGCTTTAATAACATCTGCATCGATCAGCTGGACAATTTGCGTTGTGCTTGATACAAGCGTCTTGACAGTACACATCGGCTCCTTCTTGTCCAGCAATTTCCCCAATAGCTTCGCATGTCGTTCTAAATAAAAAACGTTTATTTTAGAATCATTTGTCTAACATTTTGGAGTTGAAATTAACTTTACTCAAATAAATGTTGTTAAATTTACTTACGGGCAATGGCAAACCGATTCAGGACAGTTCGGAGGGTAACGCATACAATTTGTTTGACACCAACTTCTCATGCCAGGTAAAATGCGGTACGATTGCGATGGAATGCAAACTTGATCGCTATATAAATGTAAATAGACATTAGTATTGGATAATTTGGTATCAACTAGATATATGTATATTAAATCTTACCGAACAATAAGTGGGAAAACATTTTCATCTTCGGGTGCTCGGTAATCTCTGTAGTACAATAAGAACGGGTTACTCTTTCCAATGAAAAGAGGAGGCACACCACCGGTATTAGATGTAATGGCAATGTCGGCACAATTTCGGAATATCTCTGTGCGGTAGATAGAAGCAGACTTTTAGAGCTATGCTTAACTTTGAAAATGATTTTCCAATATACCTGGCTTTCCGCAACCGACTGACTCCGTTCCATTTTCACAAGTTCCCCACATATTCCCCGTAAAGTATGTCCATTGCAAAATACATTGGGTACATGTTACAAATGGTGGCAGCTCAATTCGATACTTGAACGTTCCCTTTTTACCGGCTTCATTTGGAATATAGAATTTATTATCTTCGGCGTCTTCAACTTTCAGAGGATACTTATCGAAACATTCCTGGTCGGCTTCAATGTATGGATTATTGTTTGGACATAAGGATATTTCAAAATAACCTTGATGATTTGCAGTCAATTCCACTTCGATATCAATTGTCTGAGTAATACAATACAATTGTATGTAAATCACAATATTGCGCGGCCTTAATTGTAAGCTACTTACTTGCCCAGCGGCATAAAACTTTGACGTAATACCCTTGGCATATGTTCCACCCGCTTCGTGTGGTCGCGGCTCTTCCAAATGATATGCATCTCCGCATACTCCACATTTACCACCATTTTGGTCCCAATGAACTTCATACGTCGTCGGCAGCAAAATAAATAAAATAAATATAATAATAATATGTCAGCTACAAAAGAGTTTATAACTCAATTCAGATTGACTTTTATGCTAAACTCAATTAATTTACCTGCATATCCGCCACAGAAGAGTTCGCTGTGGAGAAAATGATAAAAATTAAAAGTGATGACAATATTTTTTTTTAATTAATATTGTTATTTTTTTAAAGAATACTCACTTATCATCATAATTTACCGGGTTTGGATATCCAAATCGCCACATAGCGTTACGAGATGGCGGATTCATAAGCCGGCCGTGTCCATTGACTAGCACCAATAATGCGAGCAACTACATGAGATGAATAACATTTTGTCACATTTGAGTTCATGACTTCAGCCACGTAAACTTAACTAACTTTTGGACGGATGAAATGTCGTTCAAAAGCAACAATGTCAAACTTTTTACGTATTTATTACAATTCGTGTAACGCTTACAAAAACGTCGTTGAACGCATTTAATCAAATTATTTACAAATTAAAATCTTGAAGAGCATTAATTGTGTTTGGTATCACTTTTCGATTGTATACACACGTACCTGGAATCCAATATAAACGATCGCATTGCCTGCAGCCATTTTCTATAAATACAAAAAAAAGTTCATGCGCTATACGTGGATACAGAAGCAGGTCAACAAATTCAATTAGGTGTAAGTGCTACCCAAATGAATTGTCATCTATATTACATGAATTAAACGTAATTAAGTGAATCAGACTGGAAGAACACCTCAATTTGCCTCCGGTGGCCCATAATTCGAGCTCAACGTAGCTTGATAGTGATAGGTTTCATGCTTTGATTACACACAGTGAACTTAAATCACGTTAAGTTTATGTGAAATCGATTGAAAAGCTTGCTTGAAATTGAAAAACCTCATTTTGTTCATCGACAATATTCTTGTTGAACAAAATTTCCTCATTAGTACGCAAAAATAAGAAATTTTATTATTCTCATGGTTCTTTTGTGAAAACTATACAATTACGACAACAAAAAGGCATTTGATCTGTTTTATGAGACATTTATTTGAGAATTTTGTGATAAACGACTGTTCGTGTATTTTCCTTGTAGTTGCAAAAACCACTTTTTACTTATGTTTTTATGGTTTGTAGAATATATGGCTTGAAAATGTCCAAAAAACAACATGTATACTGCATACCTACATGTTACGAAAAAAAAACACACACACATATGTGAATTCAAAAGAGATAAGAAGAATTTACGTCTTAATTACGGTCTTTTGTTCAAAAAAAAAACTTGATATATCTAAACCACATGGAATGTTACTCTTCCAAATCAGGCTCCAAACAACTAACACGAGTATTCCATTAATTTGCAACATGTTTACATCGTACGAAAAATCGGATTTGAACATGAAAAGGATGTACGTATTTTTATGTGAGATATCCGGTAATGATACTTTGCAACATTTTAACAGGCATTTAGAGCATTTTATTGAAGTTTAAAACTGGCCAAAGAAATCATTTTCAAAGTGGTTTAGATCAAAGTATGGAAGCCAGTTTCAATGGGCTTGAAATTTTATCGCGTAATAAATCCATTGTTATTTTTCTGTCGAGTTTGGTCATCAGTCGGATTGAAAACGTGGATAAACACTCTTAACGATATTCAACTATTCAGCAAAATAGATTTAAAAAAACTGTATTTGTTGACGAGATTCGAGCAACACTAGGAAAAAATTTAATCCAAATACAAAAAAAGTGCACACAAAATTAATCAGATCTAAAACATTCAATTCAATGACTTGAGAATGAAGCGGCAATGTGTCCGTTCATCTGATATTAATTAGCGTGCAGAGAGAATATATATTTTTTGCAATAAATGAATGTGATTTACAAATACTGAAAAGAGAGATTGCTCCATGAAGTGTCCACATGTGTTTGATATCGAATTTCCAATTATATGACGTAAACTCATTTATCATCAAAATTCATTTGCCAATGCAGCGATGAAAAAGTGTGAATCTGGTTGCGTACAATATATTCATCAAGCAGTTGAATAAACTATGTTAACTCATTCTAAAAGCATCAGTTGCTCTTCATCAAATTTTGTTCGTTCGTTGGCGGTATTATGTGTGCGATGCAAAGGCATACACAAGTTCACATTGGATGTGGCAAAGTATCTGAATGGAGACAAAGGACAAATGCAATTTAGCTGATGAATCGTTTTAAAATTTACCGCTTTTTACAAAGGCAAGCTGTGTTTGTGATACGCTAACGCACCATGCCATGGTTGTATACTGTGTACGCTGTACATTTTAACTAAATTATAGAAAATGTTCAAATTGTCGTTGTAGCATGCGAGAAAGAGAACATGAACAACTGACTCAATCTGATTCACATAAAATTTGCATAAAAACCGATAAACAAGAACATTTTGCCGAAATTACAATCATACAACATAGAACATAGACCTGCCTATGTGACAAACACGAACATACATTGAATCATACCCAAATAAGAGAACGTTAGAGGAGAGAAACGAAAGTGATGCAAAGATCAGTGGCAAAAGTGCTACTGTTTCGATTTACGTAGAAACATAACGCTACAATTACATGAAAAATGTAACATCCACATAACGCAAAGCATCGAAACCGAAAGTAGCTTTACCCATTCAGCAAAATCTATGGCTCTTTGATCGTTTCTAAAACAAAATATGCATTTAACTCCGACACTGATGTCGATTTATATTAAGGTGCCATTCTCATATGTGGCTACCAAGTGTAACACAATAACGACCGCTTCAGTCATTCTGCGTTGTGTCTCATTATTTATTCATTTACATTTAAACGGCTTTGGATAAATTCGTCAATCTCTTCGCTTGTTTATGTGTATTGCTATGCTTGTTTCATATACACATATGCACAACATACACATACACCCACTGTAAAGAAAATAAATAAAATGCAAGCCGGCACACGAACGATATTTTACTATGACTGAAGCATCCGATACACACACACGCAGATTAATTTATGTACAAAACTTTACCATTGCATTTACATGCAACAAGGTATACACAGCATCATATTGCTTCAATTTGAATATACTGTGTTTTGGTGTGATAAAGAAAACAACATGCGTTTACAGCACGCCAGAGAATTCATGCTGACTATGTAAATCATTATGCAAATTTATGCTCTATAAGTTTTCTAAGCAATATACTGATTAGACGAGAAAGCGACAAAGAGACAAAAGATATCAACATTGGAGTCCCATTGAGAGCGTTCAAACTGAGCAGTTCAGATGTTGTGACGGTCCGATGATTCACATGTCAATTCATTTACGTTATTAACAACCGATTTGATATATAACGTGCAAACTAAAACCAGTTCCAATTTTTCGTCACCATAAATCAATTACTTGATGTTTGACTTTTTCTAAAATACTATTCAAAACTTATCCAAGTCATTTGAAAATAAATAAAGCAAGTGATAAAGTTTGTCGAACTTTGAATGCACTCACAAAAATCGATAAATAAAAACAAACAAAGTATCGTGTGTAAAACATAAAGAAGCTCCTGCGGTGTTGAATCCTATTATTTTCAAAATCGACACCTGAACCGTCGAACCGTCGTTTTATAGAATTCTTTGTCGGTGTTATCGTTACAGAAAAGGTTCAATAACCGGATATCACCATGTTATCTATCCTAATGTTGGTGCAACTCTCGATAAAATGAAACGATCAATACTTGTATAATTTCGAATAATCAAATAAAGTGAATTAATTAATATTTGTACTTTTCAATTTTGCCATTTTGTGAACGGATTTAATCAAATCACAATTTTCAGCAATTATTTACAAAGTCATTGAATTATTACACTCAAAATAAATATTTTGTATTATTTGTGTGATGATAATCTAATATCTATTGGATTTGCTCACTGTGAATTAATTAATAAAATTTTATGCATTATTCATGATTGGTGCTATTCATCGTGTTTTTTGGAGGATAATAAGATACATTTAACTTTAGTCCATTTGAAACTATTTTAAATAATATTAAATTAATATTACTTTTTTTATCAATACAAAAACGCATTTTTCTGCATCGAAAAAACGTTTGGTTCATCGTTTAATTACACATATAACGTTTACTCTTTCGCAAACATTTACAAATCCGCTGGTATATTGATAAAATGTGCTGTGTATTATTTTTCAACCAAATTGAATTCAATATAAATGTAACAGGTTTCGATAATCCATAACATTGTAAATATTTTAACGATTTCATACACTTCGGTTATTTGCAGCCAACGTTTGTGAGGATAAAGAATCTGAAGCGTTCGTTTGACCACGGGTGGACGTCAAGTGTCAAATAACTTCAAAAATAAAAATGAAACGATGAGACGAAGCGATATTATAATCAAAAGCAAACCGGCTCATCAAACAGATGTGAATCAAGCCACAATTATGTGAACTTTATATTTTCGACGCATTTTTTTTATAAATTTACATTTTTGTTGAGTTTTCGATATTTTATGCATTTTACAAATTCTTCTTTGGTGATTAAGCGGCGTGCTTGAAGGGTTTTTGTTATACAGTCTTGTATGTGCACTTTTCGTACGAACTTTGTCGTGTTTTTTTTCACGACTCAGACTAATTTCCAATTAATTATTTATGCTTGAAACTCTATCACCATAAAACTAATCCATTTAGGTTGAACAACGAAAAATCATTTAAAATCAGCTAATTAAAATCGCATATTTTTGCTAAAATCGTTCAGGAAACGCAGTTTAAATCAGTATTGATTTAACTTGAAATGCATCAAATGTCATTTAATATCACAATTAAATAAAACCGGTCGCAATAATTGACCTCATGTCACAGTATCATCTAAAGCAGTTTCTTTGAACAGATATGCTATTCAACCTTCAATAATCTATGCATAAAATGAATGACAAATTAATTGGCATCCGGTAAAAACCAGATAACCAACCCATTTTAAAAAAATGGTCGTGTACTCGTAAAAATGATATTTGTTTTCTTTTTTTAAATAAATATTGATAAAAGTATTTGTTTTTCTTTATTTTGTACTCGCGATGAATTATTAATGAAATCCTTGCAATTTGGTTTGATGTGTGTATTTCTCTCTGTTTGACATTTGCTATTTTCCGATGAGTCTTTTAAGCTCTTTGCTCGTTGCGAAACGAAATTCATCATCAACATTCAGGAAAACTGGATAAATAAGGCGAATCAAAATGTAAATGTATTTTATGGCTTTTTTGCACATTTACTACTGAAGTATTGCGACTTTTTATGTGCATGTAAGGCAGCCATCAAGCCGCGCTTCATGGTATGCGGTTTTTATAGCTCACCAATTCTCTGTCAAAACTCGAATCAGAAAAGACATACAACAAAATGCGGATGTAGTGGTTGTAAATAAACCTTCCACAAACCAATGCATCAGCATCAGCAACTGCTCAAGCGAATTTAAGTTGCAATCGTCAATCAATTTTTGACAAAGCAATGAAATCAGCGATGAAAAAAATGTCAACAACCATGTCATTGTGGAGACATCGACGGAAATTATATTAAGCGTAAATGAGAGCAAAAACATCTTAACCCA